AGAAAAACCAGTTTCCAGCAGAAGTAAAGCTCATTCTCTTTCTTTCCCTCATGTATTGTATTTAGACTCCTTAGCCTGTCCTTCAAGAAGTTCACCTTGGTCCATTCTCCCTTTTCACTGAGTGTCTAAGACGCTCTAATTCTAATACACAATTTTATACTTAATTGTAAGAACTGACATTTCATGTCTGTCCTGTGCTAGCTACATTTATTATTTCAGCAAGTGGAACCATTCAGAGATTGAAACTGGCCCTATCTTTGAAACTGAGTCAAAGTCACTAACTTTCCAAAGAACACTCAGCTCAGTCAGTATCAGAGCTGAGATCTGGACCCAGGCCCACCTGCTCCAAAATCTGTCTCCCCTCCCCAAAACAGCATGCTGGAAGAGTGGCATTTTGGCTCTTTCTGTGGCTTTAAATCCATTATTCTATAGACTGCCAGCAAACATTGTTTTCTTTTGGTCCCTTTCCTCTCTCATCTCATCTTCCTCTTTAAAGTATAAGGTATAAAGAAGCATCATTCTGATTTTTACTTTTTTGTCTATTGGACCACATAAACCATTGTTTGTTTTTGCTAAAATAAATAGTATTGTACTTGATGGAGTTATTATTTGTAATGTCAGGAAACCGAGCACTGCGCATCATGGCATCAGGCTTGGGAACTTTTGGCCCAGTGAATTGGATACTGTAATATTTCTCTGCTTTTGGCCACTACTATCTACAGAATAATTGCCCCAGTAAGTTTAGGGTAGTCTTTTCCACAATCAGTCTGTGAATATATAAATAAGTGAACATTGATTCTATTCAGCTAGTTAGCATCTCAAAAGGAAGCAGTAACATTATGAATTTTTCTTGGGCAATAGTTTTCAAGTTTTTTTCTGTTAATAATTATCCTAGAGCTGTCATCTTCAAACCTTTTTGTCAGTTACCCATACTAAAGATACATTTTACATTACAATCTGGTACATACTTATGAATATGTAAGACACTAGATTTATAAAAATAATATTTTCCTTACTACAACTGGTGTAGTATCATATTTTTATTTTACTCTGTTTTACTTAAAAATCCTGGTTGGAACCCATTAAATTTCATCACCCCCTTGAAAAATGCTCTGTTAGAGGATAAGCTTCATGTAATCTGTGTTGTTCTTCAGAAGCTTCCCTAAGTCTCCTCTGCTTTTTACTCAGATCTTCTCTTTTGCTTCCCTGTATTCTGTAGCCTCAACCAAGTCTGCTTCTCTTCTTTCCTCCTCCTGCCTTTCATTTCTCTCCCTTTCTGCTCCACTGACATAAAGTTGTAATATATTTATGGGAGTTACAGTTTTATTTTTTCTACTCTAGGTAAATTTAACAATTTTAGGTCTCTTTGTGTCTCACAAATTTGAAACAAAATTACTTCTAACAAGACTGGCATGTGCAGTTTTACCTTCCTTGTAAGTTAGTTATGCACCGTGAAAAGTTTCTCACCCTTATGAACTATACCAGCAGTGTTAAAAGTACTCTTGTAATACTTTGATATTAAAGCAGTACACTTGCTATACCTATTTACTTTTTTTTGGTTTGGATTTTTTTTAAGGAGTAATCTCTTATGTGTCTGGATCCATACCTCTTTGTGAATATAACTTTCAGGATAATTTGAAACATCCCTCAATTCTCTTATTTATTGAGTCAGTTCATCTTTTTCATGCTATTACCTTAAATATCTCTCATGGTTTTTCCTTTCTCTCAATTCTCACTGCTATTATCTTATTCATATTTTTTCTATATTATTACAATGAGCTTCTAGTTAATCTTCCTGAGCTCTTGTTATATCCTCCTCTTCGGTAATTTTCGGGAATAGAAATTGGTCTCCCAGTGACTGCTGGCAATGCTGCAGTGGCTTTCAGCCACCTGAGGTCAGAGTCTAAATTGCTTGGCACGGCTTTTTATGGCCCTTTGGTGGATCTGCATATGTTCTCCCTTTGGCAGCTATGGGGCTGAGGGGGAAAGTGCAAGGAGAGGCTAGTAAAAGATGAGCAGAGCAGGCAGCTCACTGTTTCCACAATGTCAGATATTTGAATCCTTTTACATGTGTTTCTTTATCTGCCAATTCCTTTCTTTTCATTCAGTTGTCCTTTAAATCACATCTGAGATGTTCTTCTAGGGATTTGTTCCAGTAGTTCTCTTGGCCTGTATCTCAGGATATTGTGTATGTGTGCCTCCTCCTATATGGGAAGTTCCTAAAGAGGAATCTTCATTTGAGTCTCCCTCATGTCTGGCCAGGAAGATGTTAGGGGCTGAGTATACAGAGAGCAACTAGATGCCTATGGACCTTATTCTCACAGAGCATTTAGTCTATCAAGGGCTGCAAATGATTAAACAAACACAATAAAATATGATAGGAAAAATACAAGATGTTGAAGGCTTCCTGGTCCTCATGACATTTAAGATGAACACTAATGAATAAGTAGGAACTAGGCAATAGGCAAAGAAAAGTGAGTAGAAAAGTGAGAGAAAAGGAAGAGTCTATATACAGGCCTGCAGGGAAGAGCATGTTACAACTGAGAGGCAGAAATAACATGCCATGGCTTAGTGTTCAGGTGGTAGGAAATGAAGCTACAGAATATGCAGAAAGCTCAGCTGTGTGGGGCTTTATAAATAGGATGACAGTAGAATTGACCTTTTGAATTGCAAAAATTTTGAGAGGGACATGGGGAGGTATTAATAATTAATATACCAGGTTAAGAGGCATACACAAATCATCCTAGATAAACTAGAATCCATGGTGAGTTTGAACTTTATCCTAAGTACATATCAGGATTCACTGAAGGACTTTTTAAGTAGAAAATTTACAGTTTAAAAATCATGATAACTTTGCTGTGGGGAATAAATTGGCAAGGAGCTGTTGTAATAACTAGATCAAAGCACATGGTGACTTCAGCCAGAAGTAGATTTCAGAGAGGTTTTAGGAAGTGCAGATCTATTCATCAAATGGTGGCAAGGTCCGAGGTAGGAGTTAAGGATGATAACCTAGTTTCTCTTGTTTCAAAGAAGGGCATTACAATTCCCTGATCAGAACAGTCAGGACTGCCGAACAATACTGGTTATGAGCTCAAATTTAGACATGTTGAGTTGAAGAGACCTTTGAAATACTGAAATGGAGATACTCTAGTAGATAGACATGAGTCCATATGGGGTGGGGGAGATTTGTCTATGTTTCTGTCTTGTTTGTAATTTTATTTTTCCTTTCTTTAAACTGTATACTTATAATTTTCAGCCTCATGAGTTTTCTAGGTGTAATCTGAAACTGTCCCCACAGCACACACACACACACACACACACACACACACACACACACACACGGCAGAGAGAAACAGAGAAAGAAGCAAATCACTCCAGATTGGTAGGGGTTTAATAAGCAAAGGAACTTACCTTCAAGGCTTGTCTTGGGCAGCTGCATGATGAGCAGATCTCCACTCCAGTCCACCAGAACCTTTTTGCTTTGGACTGTGCTGGGGTTTGTTGCTGTGCGGGCTTTTCTCTAGTTGCAGTGAGCAAGGGCTACTCACTAGCCATGGTGCGTGGGCTTCTTGTAGCGGTGGCTTCTCTTGTTGCAGAGCACAGGCTCTAAAGCACACCGGCTTCAGTAGCTGTGGCTTGTGGGCTCATTCGTTGCAGTTCTCAGGCTCTAGAGCGCAGACTCAATAGTTTTGGTTCATGGGCTTAATTGCTCCTCGACATGTGGGATCTTCCTGGATCAGGGATCAAACCCCTGTCTCCTGCATTGGCAGGAGGTTCTTTACCACTGAGCCACCAGGGAAGACCCTCCAGAATATTTTAAGATTACATAGAAACCTTAACTGAGTTCAGTCACATATAGAATCCAGATGGTCTCAACACCACCTCCCATCTCAAGGCAGTGTCCTTGGGCACCTTCCAGTGTGGGGAAGGCAAGCAGAACACACATTCCAAGGACACATGAAGAAATGAGGAGTACCAGATTGCCTGGGTCCAGCTCACAGGTCAGCCAGCAGTTAGCTCCTCTTAGTTAACCTCCTCTGACAACTTCTTACTGTTTCTGGTATTTACGTTGGGGGAAAATTACTTCATGTTTTCCAATGCCTTCAAAGAATGGTGTATATAAAATGTTGTGTTTTCTTCTTTCTTGGTTAGGAAGTATCCCTGAACCAGTGGGCAGTCATAGAACTGTAGGATAAGTTTAATAAAGCTCATTTATTAAAGGAATAAATAGTGAGGTCATGGGTGTTTATTATATTGTATTTGGTGTACTTTTATTTATTTTTTGTCTTAAGTTTTTAAAAGTGGAATAATATTAAGCCATTTTTTTTAGTGGCTCCTGTAGATGTAGTTTTCATTTGTTGAGCCTGTGCCATTGACTTTAAGAACATTTTATCTCATTTAATCCTCACAGTAACCTCATGGGTGGGTAGTATTCTCATTTTACAGATGTGGTTAGACTCAAAGTAGTTTAACAATTTAATTTTACCACAATTGACATAGTAAGTGGCAGAACAATATTTGAACCCGGGTTGCCTTAATTCTCATGTCCATAGCTGTTACTATTAGTCCATAGGTTATCTTCAGAGACTACCAAAAAAAAGACTCAAACTGCTCTCAAACTCATCCTTTTACATTGACAGTAAGACATATATATATGCATGCTTGAGAGTAGGAGTTAGTCATTATCTTGCATTGGTGTAATACTTAAAAAAATGTTTCAAATGCTTGGTGTATGTTCTCAGTTCTCTCTGAGTAACAAAGTTTGAATGGCAGCACTTCCTAACTATTGTGGCGAATGTGATTAAAAAATCAAATTCAGAAGAAAAAAAAAATCAAATTCAGAATTGACTTAGGTGTGTGTCCCTGTATAGTGCTCTGACTTTGGAGGACTTGAGCTGATGTTCACCAGCTGCTAAAGCTAGTGTTATTTAATGTTTAGAGAAGTGGATAGTTCTGTAAGAATATGTGATAATGTTTAAGCTCTGTTTGCTTTGTATTAGAGAACTGCCTGTACTGGATCCTGGATCAATGAAGTCAGAGATCTGTGCTTCCTTGTCAGCAGGTAAAACTTGACATTTTCATAATGTATAACATTGAAGTGTTTTTGTATCTCTGTTTAGGCACAGTCAGAATGAATTCATTTAAAAAGGAAGCTTTCCATTTCAGAGTCTGTCAACCCTGTTGTACACACTTTGTCAGTTTTTCTCAGTTTTAACTGCCTTGTTAGCAGATCAGATTTTGAGAAATTTTCCATTTGATTTTTTAATAAATAACTTTGTTAGGCTTTATCTACAAAAGATAATTGACTTCAGCAATTTTTGTAGTCTTATTTTGAAACCAAAATATGTATTAAAGCTTAACCATATTTTAAATGAGTCCTTTTTAATATTTTTTATAATTAGCAGTTAATCATAAGTTTAAATAACCAAATCTTTGCAGGAAATAATTTAATTGGAAAGTTAATTTCAGAAACCTTCAAGTTTTAAAAATACATTGAAAATAACTGGACATGATCAAGAAAGATTCTTAAATTTATCTTTATGTCTTAATTTTGTATTACTGCCATATCTTTTTATACCATGTAATGGAGTTATTTTGATAGAGAGGGAGGAATAAATGTATAATTTGCTGAAAATGCTACTTCATATTTGTCACATTGGACTTTAAAAGAGTCTCTGAATTCTAACTCACTTTTAGAACAATCTCTAAATGACTTGGTTATTTTGCCATTTAAAGTTTCTACAGTTGAATATTATTTCTTTTCAGCAAGTGAGATAAAACATGATTCCAAAGATGCAAACATTTCCTTAGGAGAAGTTACTCATGAAACTTCTTCAAATGAAAAACCGGGAGACCTAAGTGAACAGACAAAAAGTTCAGACTTGGACGAAAAGGTACTAGAGAATCTTTTGCATTTCCTTATTTCTTGGTCCAGATGGTGGTAAATATAGAAGTTCATCTTAGCTGTGCACTCACGCAACAAGGATAATGTCTTTTTGTTGAATAAAAGTCACATCATTCTGGCCATGGAATATATAGTTTGGTACTTGGCATAAGCACAGTATTAACAGAGTCTCACTTGTCTGAAAAAATGGGGTGTACTGTTTAATTACATATTTAGCTTTTAAGGTTCTTCTCAAACCTATATGAACCTTTCAAAATTGTTACATATCTTCCTGCCTCATTAAACACAAAGTACTGAATGTCATTTGATGTTCTTTGAAATTTTATTTTATTTTTTTCCCATTTATTTTTATTAGTTGGAGGCTAATTACTTTACAATATTGGTGGTTTTTGCCATACATTGACATGAATCAGCCATGGATTTACATGTATTCCCCATCCCGATCCCCCCTCCCGCCTCCCTCTCCACCTGATCCCTCTGGGTCTTCCCAGTGCACCAGCCCTGAGCACTTGTCTCATACATCCAACCTGGGCTGGTGATCTGTTTCACCCTTGATAGTATACTTGTTTCAATGCTATTCTCTCAGAACATCCCACCCTCGCCTTCTTCTTTGAAATTTTAGAATATCACAGTGCCTGAGTGCTATGAATGCAAGCATCAGTTATTCAACCCCAGATGCAGAAGCCCTGGGAACTGAATATAAACCTAATTTGATGTTGAAACACACCACTGGTGTATGATATGGGGAACACAGGGTATGCGTTATCTGCCAGATGAAGTATATGATTGTCTTAACCTGTTGAATAATTTAATTGACACCTCAACAACTATTTCATGGTTTCTTCTTTCTCCTTACTCCTCCTGATTTGTCCTCAATAGCTAGCAACTTTGTTTCCTGCTTCACTAACAAAATTGAAATAACTGGAAAGGAATTTAAGTTCCCACCAATGCGTTAGCCCACCTACCTGCATCTGTTCCCAAAACTACGGTTTTTCCTCTGTTACAGTGGATGAACAGGCCAAGGCTATCCCTTCCACCTGTGTGCTAAAATCCACCTCTTCTCTCTCTTAAAATACAACTGCAGCAATTCTTCTTTCATTACTGGATCAATTCTGTTCTACATAAGCATTCTTTTCTCCCATCTTCAAACAAAAACACAAAAAAAAGCACTTTCATGGTTCCATTTTCCTTTTCAGCAGTCATCCTGTTTCTCCAAAGGCTTGTCTAGACCCACCATCTCCAGTCTTTTTCCTCCAGCTCCAAAGATACTCGCCTTTACCTCCACCGAAACTACCCTTCTTAACACTCCCCAGCCACCTCCTTGTTACTGAATCTAATGGACATAGTTCAGTCTTAATCTTACTGAAACTGTCACTAGTATTTAGCAGTTAATTACACTTCTGTTGAAACCTTTTTTTTACATGACTTTCAGGATAAATATAACCTTCCTGGTGTCATTTCTGTCTGCAACTTCCCAGTTGGTTTTGCTGGTTTCTCCTGATCTCCCTGACCTCTGTGTTGGAGCAACCCAGCACCTAGACCAGGAATCTGTTCTTTTTTTCTATCTAGATTTGCTCCTTAGATGATCTCATGCAGCCTCGTTGCCCTGAATGCCACCTGTGTACTAAGACTCTCAAATTCACATCTCCAGCTTAAACTTCTCTGAGCTGCAGAACTTTGTATCTAGTTGCCTGCTTGACTTTTCCTCTGGGATGTCCAATTGGGCTTCTCAAACTTAACACGTTCCAAACTGAACTCCTGTTATATGTCCCCTACCCTGCCACACACCAGCCTTTCCTGTCATTTTCCCCTTTTCTATTAGTGGCATTCCCATCCTTGATAAATCACTTAGGCTCGAAACCTTGGATTTCCTTCCTTTCTTTTTCTCTCACTCCAAATGCAGACTGTAAGGAAATCCTGCTGGCCTCAGTTTCAGATGATGTCTGGAAATTGTCCTCTTTTCTTCACTCCCACCCACACCACATCACACCCGTGCCCAGCCATGTATCATCTCCTGCCTGAATTACTGTAGGGGCCTCTTAACATTTCTCCAGCTTCTAATATTGTTATCTTATAGTTTATTGTCAACACAGCATAGGTTAGATCATGTTATTCTTCCACTTTAAATTCTCCAGTGGCTTTTAATAGTCAGACTCGAAGCCGCAGCCCTTACTGTCACCTACTTGACCGTGTATCTGTGCCCCCTCCTCCTAGCCAACCGTGGTACCACTCTGATCTGACTACTCTCCTTAGCTCTTGCACTCTGACCCCCTTAGCCTCCTGCTGTTCTTGGAACAAACCAGGCTTTCTCCCACTTTAGGGCCTTTGATTTTGGCATTTTATCGCCTTAAAAAAATAAAAACTATATAGCTGACTTTCTTATTTCCTTCACATCTTTACTCAGATTTCATGTTCTCAGAGAGACCTCCCTGGCCGTCCAATCTAAAATTCCAATATTCTCCTTGCTGTCAACATTTCATATCCCACTTTCTTGTACTTTACATTTACTTATGTTTATCTCTGTCTGCTCCTGCTAGAATGAAACTCCATGAAGGCAAAGATTTTTGTCCATTTTGCTCACAAATGAGTCTTTTACACCTAGAGCAGTGGCTGATAGAGAATAATAATACAAATGATTGTTGGGTTTTGTTTTTCATATGTGTTTTTGTTTGTTTTAGCCACCTTGCATGGCAGGTCATGGGCCAAGCCTTTAACAGATAACATATGGACAACCCAGATTTACTGAGTTAATACCTTACTGTACCTGACATGTGTACTGTTATTTCCCTTCACAGATGAAAACACTGAGACTTCTTATCTTATCCAGGGTCACACAGTAGAGTCCCTTGACTCTATAGCAGGGGTCAGCAAACCTTTACTTTAAAAGACTAGATAGTAACACTTCTCTGTCTTTGTGATCCCTGTGGATGCTGTCACAGCTACTTAACTCTGTCGCTATAACATAACGAGAAAGAAGCCATAGACAGTATGAAAACAAATGTCAATTGCTGCATTCAAATAAACCTTTATTTACAAAAACAGGCAGCCTGCAGGCCATTGCTTGCCAACCTTTGCTCTAAAACATTAAAAAATAAACAGTTTGTATCCTGTTCTACTTAAAGCAGAGAGAAGACTTAATGCATTCTCTTCTGCAAGGATAGATTTTAAGAGATGTTTGCCAGAAATCACTGAGTTCTTAACGCTAAATATTTTAAGGATGTAGACTGTTTTCAATATTAGCTCTTTTAAAAATAATCCACAAAATCATTTAGCTGCTTCCTAAAGTGATGCTATTTTTTGGATTTGTTTAAGAGAAGAGAAATGATGCTTTTATCCTTGTAATACCATGGTAAGCTTCAAAGAATCAACTGTTTAGAAAATACATGACCCTGTTAATAATATTTGTCTTTAAGATATCTGGCCCCCAGATTTGGGAATTAACAAACTTTAACTATCTCTCACCTTACATTTTAGGAATTTTAGAGGGTAAATAAGTTGATTTATAGGACATAGGTCTAGACTGCCATTTTTTCTGCTTTTATGTATGGTTTTCTGTGAATTTTTAGAAATGTTTCCTTATTGATCTTATATATGATCAATATATATATATTTCTGTCTTTTCCGCCCATAGGCCTTGTTTTTTCTTACTTTTACGTATCAGTTATACTCAGAATCCATATACAACAATTTTTAGGTTTACCATGGTGGTAATTGCTTAGTGATTCTAGGTTTGAGCCCCAGATAGTCAAAATGCTAGTGTCCTTAATTTTTCTTTGGAAACAATTGTAAATTCACAAGTTGCAAAAGTAGTTTTCCCCCATGATTTCATCTCAACGCCCAGTATTAGAAGCAGAAATTTGGTATTAGTATAATGAGGGTATACAGTTCTGTGTATTTTATCAAGTGCGCAGACTTTTGTAGCCTCTAGTGCAATTAAGATGATAATTACATCATTACAAAGACCCTCCTTATACTACTTCCTTGTCACACCTCCCTCCCTACCCCTAACATCTATAACCTTAGCAACCATTAATATGTTTTCCATCTCTATAATTTGGTATTTTGAAAGAAGCGCCCAGGTTTGCGGTTGCTGGGCTATCTGGTAATGGCATGCTTAGGCTTCCTCAGTAACTTGGGTGGACTCATCCTCCAGGTTATTCTCCGGTGGTAGTAGGCAGTTGAAATGTTTGTTCAAAAAAAAAAAAAAATGAAATGTTTGTTCAGTTCTTTTAGTGTCACATGGGTTGTTTGGAGTCTGCCTTACAAAGGTATAGCTCAAGGGTCAGCTGGAGATTTGGACCAAATTTAAAGCACATTTAGGGACTTCCTCTCTTAGGCTCTCTCGTTTCCAGGGTCCCCAACCTCACATCCCAGTTTCTGACTTTGCCCTCAACTCTGTCTTCTGGTTCTTTGTTTCATTCAGTAGGGCAAATTTTTAGCCTTCCCAAGTGGTTACAACTGACTTAAGTTCTCCCTTTAAAAATAAATTCATAAAAACAAGACTGTTACCCAGTGTCATAAAAACAGGACTGTTACCTGGTATCATTCCCTCTCTCCCTCCAGACTGCCTGCTCTTCCTATCTCTCCTGTGTCTTCAGGCAGTTTGTTTGTTTGTTTTTGTATTTTGTCTAGGGTTCATAGTTGTTACTTAAAGAAGGATTAGCCCAATAAGAGATACTTACTTGCCATTTCTTAAACTGGACCTATTGTGTATTCTTTTTATTTTTTGTGTCAAACTTTAAACTTTTTATTTTATTTTGGGGTATACCCCATTAACAATGTTGTGGTAGTTTCAGGTGAACAGCTAAGGGACTCAGCCATACATATACATATATCCATTCTCCCCCAGTCCCATCCAGGCTGCACCCAGTTATTTTTAATATCTTGTCTAGGGTTTATAGTTGTTACCTGAAGAAGGATTAGCCCAGTAACAGATACTTGCCATTTCTCAAACTGGACCTATTGTCTATTCTTTTTAATTTTATACAAATGATAGCATACCATTCTTTATCTTTTTTAAACTTACTATATAATAGGGAGTGTTTCCTTTCCATATATGTAAGGATGCTTTCTTTTACAATTATATAATTATCCACTATATGGATGTACTCTGTTCAACAAGTTCCACTATTGATGGGCACTTGGTTTGTTCCCATTTTTTTGCTATTTTAACATTGTTGCATTATGCATCCTTGAGCATAAGGCATTTTGCATATGTGCAAGCATTTTTGGATTGATTCTTAGAAGTAGAATTTTCAGATTGCCCTACATAAAGATTGCTTTGATTTATGCTTCCATCAACATTGTATGGGAATGACAGTTTTCTCCTCCATACACTCACCAACTCAGTATTAAAATTTTTTTTATTTTTGTCCATCTGTGTATTTTTACAAATGACTTTTCTTTTGCTTTCCTCTTATGAGTCTAGTTAAGCATCTTTTAGTATGTGTAAAAGCCATTTACATTTTCTTCTGTGAACTTCTTTTTTATGTCCTTTGCCCATTTTTCTTTTGGGATTTTGATCTTTTTTTATTTGTAAGAACTTTTCATATATTAAACATATTGGTTCTCTGTCATATGTTGCCCTACTTTTTCCTATTTTTCATTTGTATTCGACTTAGTGTAGGAACTTTTTACCTTGAAAGAGCTTTTTATTTTTATTTAGTCCAATGTATCAGTTTTATTTTATGATATTTGAGTTATGAGTTGTATTTAGAGAAAGACTTGCCCATTTTGGAGTTAAAAATTTTCATCTGTATCTTTTTCTAGTATTTTTTGGTGTTACTTATTATATTTAAATTTATCAATATAAATCTAAATTTTATCTTGAAAGAATGTAGAAACAATGTAACCTTTCTATTCTTATTTTGACAGTTGATTTTTGTCATCTTAGCATATGAAAATACTTTAAATGTTTGTATTCAGACCTATTGATCCATAATTCATGGTTTCTGCCTTTGGTGTTATCTTAGGCTTTCTCTACCCTCCAAATTACATAACTACTCATATTTTATTTTTGATACTTCAGTATTTTTTATATTTAAATATTTATTGAATGTATTTTGGAATATAGTGAATTAGAGCCAAGCTTATTTTCCATCCAACTAACTACCTGTTAGTTTCTCCATTACTATTTATTGAATCATTTCCTCACAAATTTCAAATGCCATCTTTAATATTTTCAGTTTTTATGTATAGAATGATTCCTTCTCTTTTAATTAATGAAAATTAATTGCTCAGATCCTATACCAATTCCATACTGTCAATTACTTGAAAAATAAAAATAGTAAGGAAGGCTTGTTTTACAAGATACCAAAATGTTTTATAAATCTAAAATATTTTTGGTTGTTCTTATATTCTTTTTTTTCTGAGAAAGAAATATATATTCTTTTCTTTTAAACACCTGTTATAATTTTTTAAATGTATAAATTAATTTGGAGGGAATTAGCATTTTTATGTTTAACATTCTCATCCAGGAACATGTTATATCCTAATTAATTTCATGTTTTTCAGTTGATTTTTATAGTGTTCTTTCTAAAGGTTATAATAGTATATATAATGTTCACTGTTATTATAAAATATTCTTGTATAATTTTAGAAAGACTAGAAAGATATAAAGTAAGATATTAAATGGCTAACTCTGGCTACCCAAATGATGGGTGATTTGGGGGGTTTATTTTGGTGCCTGTTTTTCAAAAGCCTAGTATTTGAGCATGTATAACTTCCTTGTAATCAGAGAATCACAATTCCCAAAACAGTTATTGTAAAGAGCTTTAAGTATAGCAACATTTTAAATAGATACAACTATTTCTAATGAAAAATACATTTATGTTCATAAATACCACCTATAAATAAAAATCACTCAAAGCTGTTCTTTCTGAATAAAAGTAAACATGTTCAAAATAATGTTCAAAATTGTTCAAAATAATTTGACATGGTAGTTTGCATAATTAAAGGTGATATCAAAAGCTAGGGAAAATGTGTTGATTTATATTTTTCTGAACACTGGAGATTTTGAAGTCAGTGTTCAGTGTTTTAAATAATACAGAGTAGAATTGCTTCCTGGCTTGGTCATAAGCTAGTTGTTTAATTAATATCTAATACATTCTGATCTGGTAAGCCTCATAGCCTAATATGGGATGTAGAGATACTCACTTGCATTTTTTAACCATAATCTCTCCACAGTGTAGATTTTCAGACAAAGTAGCTACTCAAGAAGAACAGGAAACTATTTCTGAAGTTTGCAGAAGGTCTGTAACATAATTTTTAATTACCTAATGTTAAAATAGTCATTCATGTAATTTGTGTCTTGAGCATGTTTTTCAGTCTCTCCTGTATGTAGTTGGGCTCCTATGTCATAAACAGTATGCGGGTATTATTTAATGTGTCACATATATAGAGAGTCAAGGATATTATAAGTTACTTTAAAACTGTCACTAACTGTTCTCAGCCATAAATTATTTTTTGAGAAAGGAATGAGTAATGGTAATACAATAAAAGGAAAAAAAAAGATGTGGATGTGACTGTTATGAAGGTAAGAATAGCTGAAATCAGATGAGTATTGCAGTTTGCGGGTATCTTCCATGTCAGCAATGATAAGTACTGAGAGGTGCAGTACATTCACTGGGACATGTTACAGGTACCAAATTTAGGTTTGAAGGGTACCTGGGAGATCATTTGATTCACCTCCCACACCCACTTTGCTGTGAGTCAAGGCACAGTCAGGTCAGGTGACAAATCTGTTCAAGTTCTTTTATGTTAACACAGTGTTTTTCCAAATGTAAGCCTTAGAGTAGCAGCATTGTGTGGGAACTTGTCAGAATTGTAAATTATTTGTTCCCATCCCTGACCTACTGAATCAGAAACTCCAGAAATAGGGCCCATCAATCTGTGTTTCAACAAGATCACCAGCTAATCCTGATACATGGTCAATTTGAGAACCTTTATGTTAAAGAAAAGCCTAGTTAAGAATTAGATTGACACAGTATGATTCATTACCGCTTGAAGATCTTAAAAAGAAAATGTGACAAGGTTAACTTTTTTTTCCTATTAAAAAATTGTTTTCAAGCTAAATAGTTGTAACCTGCAGAGTTTTGTCATCACCTTGGCTCTGCCATAATGACCAGGAGCGTGATATTGGGCAAGTCACCCCCTTACCCTGGATTTCATCATCTAATCAAAATAAAAGAAGTTTACTAGAAAATCTTTTCCATCTATAAAATTCCATAATTCATATTTCTTTGTTTTATGTTACCTGGTTTACTTTGTTTTATTTGGAGGAGAGTTATGATGATGGCTGGATGGCATCACCAACTCGATGGACATGAGTCTGAGTAAACTCCGGGAGTTGGTGATGGACAGGGAGGCCTGGTGTGCTGCGATTCATGGGGTCACAAAGAGTCGGACACGACTGAGCGACTGAACTGAACTGAACTGAACTGAACTATGATGATGGCACATATCAGGGGTATCCCTAGTTGGGGAGAGAAACAGAAATTTTTATTTTGTGTGAAATGATTAAACTCCATCAGTGCTACTAGGTTTCAACTGTTATTAGCATTGTCCCCTCTTCTTACTATTTTTACTCTCCTCTGGCTTATTAGAATTGTATTTAAGGTAAAATGTTTTAGTATCTGGATAAGGACATGAATCTCTCTCTGAGAAAGTAAATTCATTTATATCTGTTAGCTCTGAGGTAGTTCTCACCCTTCCACCTGCTTAAGTTACTTATTTTTCTAGGTAAGTGACCTCAAGATTAAAGTGTTTTTTTTAATTGGCTATACAGGATCTCACTAATTAGAATATAATCAAAGCTGTTTAAATCAGAAGCCTCAAACTATACATTTCTTATACCTTCTTCTCAAAGGAAGATCTCAAGTACATGTATAAATTTATTATATATACTTGTCCTAAAGAATAACTTTTAAGTCATTTGTTTCATTGCACTATCAGTAGAATTGTTGAATGGTCTTTTCTGGATCTGGACATTGATCTAGTTCCTCCTCTAACCTTTTGGCTGGCGTGATCAAAAGTATTTTGCTCTAGTTTCAACCCCACCACCCCGCTTCTTCCCACACCCTAGCCATTTAACAAGTATTGGTTTTCTAGTTAAGGCAAGAACAACCTATTGAAAATATTGAAGAATCATAGTATATAATAGTAGTATATAGCATAGTATGTAGAACATATATATCATTAGGATGTGTTTCTACTTATTTGATTCTCATTACTTTAATGTTTTTAGAATAAATTTAAATTCTGATTTTGGTTTTTCTGCTCACACAACAGCGATTCTAAGAATACAGAGATTGTGGTTGGTGAATGTCACTTAGCAGCACTGGTCTCCAAACCTCTGTGCTTACCAGTGCCATTGCCGCCTTTGAATCTAAGTGCTCATCAGGAAGACACATTACTGAATCCCTGGATGAATGGTACAGTTTTCTTAATAAAGTTCTATTGACTTTTGACAGTATAGAAATGATACAGGTGATTTTTCCACCCAAAACAGAAAAGTTAAGGGAAATAATTGAGGGAACTCCCTAATGGTCCAGTGGTTAGGACTTTATGCTTCCACTGCAGGGGGCACAGGTTCGATCCCTGATCAGGAAAGTAAGATCCTGCAAGCCGCAGGGTGGGGCCAAAAAAAGGAAAAAAAAGAAAATGGAAACAAGCATAGGATATGTAAGATTAGAAGGTTTGTGTACCTTTAGTTACTATTTTTGATTAAATAACTTCTGGGATATCTGTATTTACACAATAGTGGCAGTACAGGAAGATTACAGTTTATACCTAAAATATTCATAATTTAGTTGAGTGTTTTAGAAATTTAGAATGTACTTTATAATTTGTGTCATTTTAAATAATTTATAGTGATGTGTGTAAACAAAATAAGCTAGATTGAATAATTAATTTAGAAATAATAAAATCCTTTTGTGTACGTAGCTCACACCTGACTCTTCCATACCTCCCATCTCTGCCCTCATGCTGCCCGCTTTTGTGTGCGATAGCAGCAATCCCATGATTATCACATGTTTATAAAAGCTTTACAGGTGTCACAGTAAAACATACTGCAAAGCTATGCAGCAAAAACTTCAACTTGTCCCAAATTATATCTGGATGCAGCCAAAGTAAAAACTGAAATGACTTAAGATAAAAAACATTTCTATGTTATCTTTAGAAAAAATAATTTCTAAATGTCATAATTCTCATTTTAAAAGACTAAGGAATAATGATGCCTGGTATAGTAGTCAGCCTGGGCTGCCGTAACAAAATTCCTCAGACTGGGTGGCTTAAGCAACAGATACTCATTTCACACACTTCTGGAGGCTAGAAGTCCAAGATCAAGTTTCTGGTAGGGTTCAGTTTCTGGCTGTCTTCCTGGCTTACAGACGGCAGCCTTTTCACTGAGTCCTCACATGGCCTTTCCTTGGTGCATGTGCTTGGAAAGAGAGAGGGAAAGCTCACTCTTGATGTCTCTGTAAGGACACTGATTCTGTCAGATCACAGCCTCATTTTTATAACCCGATTTAATTTTAATTACTTCCACAAAGGCACACTGGGGGTTAAGGCATCAACATATGAATTGGAAGAGATACAATTTAGTCCATAACACCTAGATTTGTCAGTAGTTTTTATCCCTACGAAAAGTTTATTGTGTGTAATTTGTTTAACTTATCAATCTTTTGAATATAGTACTCAATGCTGCTATGTGAGACTTTTAAGAAAGTATCTTTAGCTTAAAATGAATTTAAAATGTTAAATTCAGATCTAGACACCCTTAAGGAACACCTAAGGTGTTAATTACTGTGCATTCCACAGAACTGTACCACTGGCAACAGCCTGTGAACTGAACACAAGAAGCCCAAAGTGGAATATTAAAACAGATGGCAGTAGTCTGTTCCATTGTTATGAAAGGCATAAGTTATAACATACTGGAATGTAATGTCATTCTTAATCATTTCTAGATTTCAGATTTCCAGGGAAACATTCTCTCGTAAAGCTACAGAATCCTGAAATTTGTGAAATATTTAAGAGGGAAAAAAATGTAGGGGTAAGTGCGTTATTTAAAAGATAATGATAATCTTATAAGCATATACTTTGGGGCTTTCTGGCTTTATTTCCTTATTATCATTTAAGCATTTCTGGACATTTTATTGATTTTAAATGGGATTGGTGAAAGGGACAGAAAATGTGTAGCAATTCGGAAGATGTTCACAAACAATATAAGATGTTTAAGGCTGGGGGAGCGGGGGAGGGATGGGCTATCCAAAACAGAAAATAATAGGATGAATAGTTTTCTATGGTGGAGGAGAAAGCTAGTAATAAAAAGCAGTTGATAGGAAAAGCTTGTTGTAAATAACTTCCACTCATACCTTTTTCCTGTTAATTAGAAAAGCTGAGGAAATTTTCAGTTCTAACAAATGCATCTGAAATAAGCATATATAAAAGTAAAAGTAACTTTTTATAAAACTAAAAAGGGCAGTCACATGATGAGGAGGGAAAGTATAAACATTTAAAGCCATGTGCAGTGAAACAGTAGTAACTGGTGGACTGTAAGTTTTATACTAAATGAAATTGCATAAATTCAGACAAATAACTTTAATTGTATCATAATTTTTTAAAATATAAATTGTTTGGAGTTTTTTTTTTAAGATACTTTTTTGGACATATATTATTTCTGATTGTTTCAGATGCTTTCTCACTTGATTGCTATAAGTGTTTTACAGTTAACACAGAAAGGGAATTTGCCTAATTTTCTAGGTGTTCCAGAAGCCACTAGGGTTGATGATACCCCACAGATACTGCAAATTTCATTTTAATACGTTACATGGCTGTGAGCGATCACAATGCAAGTTTGCCCATGTGCCTGAGCAAGGGGATGAAAAGGTAAAATATGTTAAGGCTTTGAAGTAGAGATTATTTGAATAACAATTTCAGTCATATGGTTTTAATTCAGATTTGCATCAAATGCTGATATAAGAGCTTTGCCTGATTTTGAGCTTTATATAAATGGAATCATACACTGTGTGCTTTTGTTTCTAGCTTCTTTTGCTCAACATGTTTGAGATTCATCTCTATCTTTTTACTTAATTGTAGATGTTTCTTTCTCATTGCTATATAATGTTGACTATTCCCTTGTAGAGTATAGAAAAATTTATTTTGTTGATAAATACTACTTTTGATGGATGACTTCTAAATTTGGTAAATACAGTGGTAATGCCATCAGTGTTGTGCATGTCTTTTGGTGAACATATATAGCCATTCTTATGGGTTATACTTGAAACTGGAATTATTGTGTCAAAGGGTTTGCATATGTTCAACTTTAGTTAGATACTGCCAGATAAATTTCTAAAGTGGTTTACCAAATTACGTGTTTAATTTGGTCTGAGAGTTCTGGTTGCTTTACATTTTCACCAGCTCTTGGTGTTATCAACCATTTTAAGCCATTCTAGTGGGTGGGCAGTGATGCTTTCCCTCATAGTTGATGAAGTTGAGCATTTTTCAGAATGTTTGTTGGGTATTTGAATGTCCGCTTCCTGTGAATATCTAAATATTTCATCTGTATTCTAGAGGATGTCTTTTTCTTATCCATCTCAAGAATTCTTTATATACTCTGGATACAAACTCTTTGTTGAATATGTGTATTGCAAATAATTTTTTCTACTTTGCAAGTTGCCTTTTCACACTTTCACTTTTTAGTTTTAAAATTTTTATTGGAATATAGCTGATTTGCAATGTTGTGTTAGTTTCAGGTGTATAGCAAAGTAAATCAGTAATATATATTTATAACCACTCTTTTTTAGATTCTACTCACCTATAGGTCATTACAGAGTACTGAGTAGAGTTCCCTGTGCTGTACAGGACGTCCTTGTTAGTTAGTGAATACATGTCGGTCCCAATCTCCTCCCCTTCCTGTTTCTCCTCTTATAACCACAAATTTGTATTCTACATCTGGGAGCCTCTTTCTGTTTTGTAAATAAATTCACTGGTACCATTTTTTCAGATCCCACATATAAGCACTATAATATTTGTCATTCTGTGTCTGAATTTCTTCACTTAGTATGATCACTATCTCTAGTGCATCCATCCTGCTGCAGATGGCATTATTTCATTCTTTTTATGGCTGCGTAATATTCCATTGTATGTATGTACCACATCTTCTTTATCCAGTCCTCTGGCAGGACATGTAGGTTGTTTCCATGTCTTAGCTATTGTAAATAAAGCTGCAGTGAATGCTGGAATTCACGCATCTTTTAGAATGATAGTTTTCTCTAGATACATGCCCAGGAGTGGGTTGCTGGAGCATATGGTAGTTCTGGGTTTAGTTTTTTAAGGAACCTCCATATTCTCCATAATGATTGTACCAATTTACATTCCCACCAACAAGCCTTTTTACCCTTTTAAAAGTGTCTTTTGGTAAATAAAATTATTAATCTTTATATAGTCCAATCTTATCCATTTTTTTTTCCTTTTATGGTGTTGACGTTTTACATCAGTTCAGTCCAGTCACTCAGCCATGTCTGACTCTTTGTGGCCCCATGTACTACAGCACACCAGACTTCCCCATCCATCACCAACTCCCAGAGCTTGCTCAAACTCAAGACTTTTTACACACTATTGAAGAAAATTTTTCTAAGATCATGAAGGGGCTTCCCTGGTGGCTCAGTAGTGAAGAATCTGCCTGCAATGCAGGATACACAGGTTCTGTCCCTGGGTTGGGAAGATCCCCTGGAAAAGGAAATGGTAACCCACTCCATTATTCTTGCTTGGGAAATCCAGTGGACACAAGCCTGGCAGGCTACAGTTCATGGGGTCACAAAAGAGTCAGACACAACAAATAAACAACAACATGAACATGAAGATGATCTTTTATGTTTTTCCTTTAAAAATTTTGTTGTCTTATCTTTCGCATTTAGAAATCTAAGCTATCTAGGACTAATTTTTGTTTAGGATGTGAGAAGAGGGTCTAGATACATATTTTTTCCCATATGGATCTCCAGCTGACCCAACAGCATCCTTTCCCCCACTGTGTTACAGTATCACTGTGTCATAAATCTGCTAATTGTGTATAAGTGAGACTCTTTATAGGATCTATTGTCTAATCATTGGTCAATGTGTTTTTCCTTATACCAGTGAAAGAATCCCTCCCTTCTCCAACTGATTGCTGACCTTGACTTTGTTTCCTTGACTCTTTCTCTGAACAGCTTCTCTGAATAAGGGTTTTATAATAAATTCAGTATGCATTTCCCATCTTAGTTAACCTAACATCAGCTTCTTTATTCCATTACCTTAAATTGACTTTAAAAAAAAATAGAATAAGCAAAAAGATAGGACTGAAATTTGTATAGTTTTTGTGAAATATGAAAAGGTGATTTTACATTTTTCATGACTTTTACAGGTTTGTATGGATGTGTTTAAGAAATATATAAGTATCAATGAGCTGTGTTTGCTACAACGTGCAGGTATGAGATAATAGAATGATTACTATAAAATCATTAATGCAGGTGTTTCAAACAATGCTTTTGTCCTCATGGTTTAAATGTAAATTCAATACTTTTGAGTATGAAAACTGAGTGTCTTAGATTAGTTGTGTTGGTCTTAGAAAGGATTAACAATAAGTGTGGCATTTTGGTTAATAAATTTTAATCCATGTAACATTGTAATTCACTTACATACTAATATTTTCATGATGTAGAAATTTTATTTACAGGTATAAGAGAGAAAAGGATGTCGTTAATTAGCTTAAAATCTTTCTGAAGGGATCTGTCAGAAACTGAATCTTCCCTGCATCTTCATCCTTTTACACATGTCCCTTGTAGCTGAGGAGAAGGAAATGGCAACCCACTCCAGTTTTCTCGCCTAGAGAATCCTGTAGACAGAAGAGCCTGGTGGGCTGCTGTCCATAGGGTCTTACAGAGTCGGACATGACTGAAGCGACTCAGAAGGAGCAGCAGCTTGTAGCTGATGCATATCAATCATTCTGTGCAGTTCCCTAAACAGGCCAAAGTGAAAGTCGCTCAGTCGTGTCTGACTCTTTGTGATCCCATGGACTATGCAGTCCATGGAATTCTCCAGGCCAGAATACTGGAGTGGGTAGCCTTTCCCTTCTCCAGGGGATCTTCCCAACCCAGGGATGGAACCCAGGTCTCCTGCATTGCAGGCAGATCCTTTACCAACTGAGCTATCAGGGAAGCTTCCCTGGTGGCTCAGATGGTAAACAGGCCAAGCTGTGCTATAATAAAGGCACTGCTCTTCTACCCAGGATGCCTTTCTTTTATCCCACTTCCCCATACCAAAGACCAATTCATCTTTCAAAGCCTAGTCATAAAAAATAGGATTATCTCCATTACACCCTTATCTGACTCCACAGCCTCATCCCATTCTCTGCTCCCATCTCCCCCTACTACATTGTGAGTCCCAAAAAGAAGGGACAAGCTTTAATATTTGTCAAGTTGACAAGTTCACAAGGGGGAAGTACTGAAAAGGTGGGACTCCCCATTACCCTATTTAACCATAGGTTCATTTTTATCTGTTTGATATTTGAATTTCCACATAAAATCCTTTTTCCAGAAGTTGTCTGATTAAAACCATTATGTAAAACTACTGCTGCTTGGCATATACCAGAAGGAAATCTGCACTGTTGAGTTGTACCAAACATTTAAAGAACTAATATCAATTCTCAGACTTTTCCCAGAAATTGAAGAGGAGGGAACACATTGATATAAAATTCCTCAACAAAAATTAGCAACCTGAATTGGAAGGATCATAGACCATGACCAAGTGGAATTTGTTCTTAGAATACAGTGTAGTTCAGCATACAAAAATCAATCCAAGTAACCACATTAACATAATTAATGGAAAAAAACACATGATCATCTCAGTTGATGCAGAAAAGGCATTTGACAAAATTCAATACCCTTTCATTGGTTAAAAAAAAAAAAGAAACACTCAAAAGACAAGAATAAAAGGAAACCACCTCAACATTTAAAAGCCACATCTGAAAACCTCACAGTAAACACCATATTTGGTGGCAAAAAAGTGAAAACTTTTTTTTCCTCCTTGCCTGCTTTCACCACTTCAGTTCAACAGAGATGGAAGTTCTCGCCAGAGCAATTAGACAAGGCATCCATTTCAGAAAGGAAGAAGTCAGTGGCCTGTGTGCAGATGATATGACCTTATATGTAGAAAATAATTAAGATTCTGAAGGGAAAAAAGCTGTTAGGGTTAATAAGTGACCAAGTCAACATGCAAAAATCATTTGCATTTCTATACACTGAAATTGAGCACCCTGAAAAGGGAATTACAAAAACAAGTCCATTTACAGTAACTCGAAAGAATAAAATACTTTAAAACTAATTTAACCAAAAAAGTGAAAGACTTGTACAATGAAATCTACACAACATTGCTGAAAGAGAAATTAAAGACACATCCCATGTTCACAGATTGGAAGACTCTGTAGTATTAAAATGTTATTACTAAGATCATGGCATCCAGTCCCATCACTTTATGGCATATAGATGGGGAAACTGGAAACACTGACAGGCTGTATTTTCTTGGATTCCCAAATCACTGCAGATGGTGACTGCAGCCATGAAATTAAAAGACACTTGCTCCTTGGAAGAAAAATTATGACAAAACCTAGGTGGAGTATTAAAAAGCAGAAACATTACTTTGCCAGCAAAGATCTGTATAGTCAAAACTATGGTGTTTTTTTTTTTTTTTAAACTATGGTTTTTCTAGTAGTTATGTATGAATGTGAGAGTTGGACCATAAAGAAGGCTGAATGTCAAAGAATTGATGCTTTTGAACTGTGGTGTTGGGAGAAGACTCTTGAGAGTCCCTTGGACTGCAAGGAGATGAAACCAGTCAATCCTAAAGGAAATCAACCCGGAATATTCATTGGAAGGACTGATGCTGAAGCTGAAAGTCCAGTACTTTGGCCACCTGATGCGAAGAGCCAGCTCATTGGAAAAGACCCTGATGCTGGCAAAAATAGAAGGCAGGAGGAGAAGGGGATGACACAGGATGAGATTGTTGAATGGCATCACCAATTCAGTGGACATGAGTTTGAGCAAACTCCAGGAAGAAGTGAAGGACAGGGAAGCCTGGCGTGCTGCATCCATGGGCTCACAAAGAGTCAGACATGACTGAGCAACTGAACAGCCACCACCCATGTTAATAGATTGGGAGGCTCAATATTATTAGAATGTCATTACTTCCCAAGAGATCTGCAGATTCAATGCAATCTCTATCAAAATGCCAATAACTCAATAGAAATAGAAAAACCCATCCTAAAACTCATATGGTATCTCAAGAAGTCCTGAAATAATCTTGAAAAAGAAAAAACTGGAGGACTCATACTTCCTAACTTCAGAACTTACTCCAGAGCTATAGTAATCAAAAGTGTGGTGCTAGCATAAAGGGAGACATATAAATCAATGGAATAGAATAGAGAGCCTAGACATAAACCCTCATATATGATCAAATGGTTTTTGAAAAGGATGCTAGACCATTCACCAGCAATAATTAGATAGTTTTTTTCAGCAAATAACGCTGGAAAACTAAATATCCAAATGCAAAACAGTAAAATTGAACCCTTATCTAACACTGGATACAAAAGTTAGTTCAAAATGGATTGAAAACCTTAATGTAAGGTAATACAACAATAAAACTCTGAAAAGAAAGCATGAGGAGAAAAACATCACAGTGTTGGATTTGGCAGTGATTTCTTGGATATGAAACCAAAGTCAGAGGCAACAAAGAAAAAAAATAGATAAATTGAACTTCATGAAAATTTGAAAATTTTGTGCGTTAAGAGACAATATCAACAAGATGAAACAGCAGCCCACAGAATGGGAGAAAATATTTGTAAATCATATATCTGATAAGGGATTAGTATCTAGAAATATAGAGAACCCTTAAAACTCAACAACAACAAAACCTGATTCAAAAATAGGCAAAGTATTTGAAGATATGTTTCTCCAAAGAAGATACACAAATGGCCAATAAGCATGTACAATGATGCTCAACATCACCAGACCTAAGGGAAATGCATATCAAAACTACATTGAGATACCACCTCATATCCATTAGAATGACTGCTATCAAAAAAAAAAAGTGTTAGGATGTGGAGAAATTGAAACCCTCATGCACTATGGGAAGGAATGTTAAATTGTACAGCACTGTGGAAAAGTATGACAGTTGCCAAAAAAATTAAAAATAGAGTTACCATATGATCCAGCAATTCTTCTCCTGATATATACATGAAAGAATTGACAGCAGGGTCTTGAAAGATACTTGCACACCCATATTTATAGCAGCATTATTCACAGTAGCTAAAATGTGAGGCAGTGCAAGAGTCCATTAAGAAATGACTTTTCAGAGCTTCCCTGGTGACCCAGTTATAAAGAATCCACTTGCCAATGCAGGAGACACAGGTTGGATCCGTGGTCTGGGAAGATCCCACACACTGCAGAGTAGCTAAGTGCATGAGCCGAACTATTGAGTCTGTGCTCTCAAGCCCAGGACAACTTCTGAGCCCATGTGCCACAACTACTAAAACCTCCGTATGTAGAGCCTGTGCTCCACAATAAGAGAAGGCACTGCAGTGAGAAACCCACATACCACAACTAGACAGTAACCTCCACTTGCCATAACTAGAGAAAAGCCCATGCAGCAACAGACACCCAGCCCCAATAAATAATTTCTTAAAAATAAATTTTAAAGAAACACTTTTTCAGTGGAAACTAATCAGTGTTGTAATTTTTAGGAGAAGGCTCATGTCATAAACTAGAATAAAAATATCCCTAGGGTCAGCATGTTGATCAGGTTAAAACAGAAAGAAGGGGTATATGTCAAAATGGACTGCTTCCACTCTTAAACAGGCTACTGCCTAAAGTCCCCCTGAGAGTGTCACTCCCTCAGAGTTCATGTTGAAACCATGATGTTTTAGGTAATTTGGTCCTATTTTTTGTGGCTAGCACATGAGTTAGATCCTAATCTAGTACTTAACATCCTGGTTGACATGTTGTTGCCATTTAATTTTTGCTTTAATGTATTTTCATCAAATATTTCTGATACTGGAAGTGTATCTTTTAAGAAATTGAGTTAATGCTGCTGCTGCTAAGTCACATCAGTCGTACCCAACTCTGTGCATCCCCATAGACGGCAGCCCACCAGGCTCCCGTCCCTGGGATTCTCCAGGCAAGAATACTGGAGTGGGCTGCCAATTCCTTCTCCAGTGCATGAAAGTGAAAAGTGAAAGTGAAGTCGCTCAGTCGTGTCCGACTCTTCGCGACCCCATGGACTGTAGCCTACCAGGCTCCTCCATCCATGGGATTTTCCAGGCAAGAGTACTGGAGTGGGGTGGAGTTAATGCTACTTGATCTTTAAATATAGAAAAATTGTCTAATTTAGGAAAGGTGACTATCTTAAAAGCAGCAAATGACTTTACTGTGTATTTCATCATTTTCAGCAAACATGTTTATGGAGTACTACAGAAAGTTTCTTCCAGGTATACACTTTGATTTACAAGTATTAAATGACCTTCTAAATTCTTTACTGAAACACTGTTTATTGAAAGAAGTATTACAGGTCATGAACCTCTGCATAATGATTAAGATGCTGGTAAGTAACCTGAAAATACATTTTTAGTTAATTTCTCTGATACATTTCTTATATGTATAATTTAGCAGTTAAATTTCTGTTTGTTAAATACTTCCTAGAGAACACTTATGTTTTTCAGCATAAACAAATTTGAGAAACTTAAAGTATACTGAAATAAGACATGAAAATGAGTGTAATTTTTTTGTTTTATCCAGCCTGCTCTGAGAATATTACTAAAAATATTTGAGTATGTGGCAACTATGAAATTAAGGAATGCTGTACCTGCTTTAATTGGTATCTTTTGCAAGGTATGATTTTTTGTTTTATCCATTTTATTCTTTAATAGTGAATAACCAAGAAGATAGTGATTTCTGCTTACTCTTAAATTGTCTTTTACTCACATTTTTTATACCAAAGAATTATATTTTCAGAAATGTTCTTTTTCTCCTGAAGTAGGGTTTATAAACAGACTCCAGTGACTAACAGGCCTTGTCCTTAATTAATAGTTCTAAGGATGCCAGGTGACTTCTTACAAATTCATGAACCATCCTCATCTCTACTTCTTAAGAATGATTGAAGAAAATTTTCTTTTTCAAAAAGATTTGTGGTCATATATAACAAAAATAAATACACAAATCAATGTATAAATAAGTCATTGTTACCAAACAAGGTAGATAGATAATATGGTGGTGGTGGTGGTTTAGTCACTAAGTCGTGTCCAACTCTTTGTGACCCCATGGACTGTAGCCCACCAGGCTCCTCTGTCCTTGGAATTCTCCAGGCAAGAATACTGGAGAGGGTGGCCATTTCCTGCTTCAGGGGATCTGCCCAACCCAGGGACCAAACCCACATCTCCTGCGTTGCAGGAGGATTTTTTAACCACTGAGCCACCAGGGAAGCCAAAGAATATGGTGGCAAGGAGTTAACTTTATATTTGGCATATAGCAAAAAGAAAAAGATTTTTACATTTTTTAAAGTATATTAAAGTTTTTACTGTTGTTGAATATTTCTTAGTATTTGGTGCTACTCACCATTTCATTTCAGAGTAGGCCTATAGCAGGAAAACACCCCACTTCCCGCCCATTCTCTTTAGGAAGCAGCATTTGAACCAGTTTAGCAGATGAACAAATATTTCGGTGACTACCTCTAGTTTCACATTACAAAACTTGACAAAATTACTTGCCTGGAAATTTTTTTAATCAGGAATTACTCAAACTTCCAGTTACATAAGAGTTGAGTAACAGGGATGAAGTGTATGGCATGGTATAGTTAGTAATAATGTAATATCTTTGTATGGTGACAGATGGTAACTAAACTTATCATGGTTATCATTTTGTAATGTATAGAAATGTCAGATCACCATGTTGTGCACGAGTAACTAACATAGTGTTATAGGTTAATTATACTTCAAAAAACAAACTTGCAAAAAAGGAAATAAGATTTCTGGTTACCAGAAGCAGAGGGTAAGGGAATTGGAAATTGGATGAAGGTGGTAAAAGGTACAAACTTCCAGTTACAAGAGAAATAAGAACTGTGTGTGTGTCACTCAGTCGTGTCTGACCCTTTGTGACCCCATGGACTTTAACCCACTTGGTTCCTCTGTCCATGGGATTCTCAAGGCACAAATTTTGGAGAGGGTTCCCATTCCCTTCTCCAGGGGATCTTCCCAACCCAGGGATCAAATCGGGGTCTCCTGCATGACGAGCAGATTCTTTACTGACTGAGCCACCAGGGAATCCCTATGTATTATACAACATGATGAATATAATTAACACTGCTATATGTTATATATGAAGGTTGGTAAGAGAGTAAATCCTGAGAGTTTTTAACACAAGGAAAAATTTTTTTCCTTTTTCTTTTATTTTGTGTTTATATTAGGTGATAGATGTTCACTCAAATTATTGTAATCTTTTCATGATATATGTAAGTCAAATCATTATGCTGTATACCTTAAACTTATACAGTTGCTGCATGTCAGTTATTCATATGGCTCAGTAAAATTGAAGATAGATAAATTAAAAAAAAAAAGAAATTATTGATCACCTAGAGTCATTGTAGAAAACCTCAACTTGATATATCTCAGGGATTTTATCATCTGGCATACAGTATAACCACAGTGCTGTAGTTACTAAAAGACAGAATTAGTACCAAGCAAGAGGTTCAATTGATAAAGTAGTAGACATAACTTGGAGAAAAGGACTAATGTTCAAGTTTAAATTCAAAAGTATTATTTTCATTTTTGCTTTAAATTCTTGATGTAAGGTGTCCTATGGTGGTTCTCAAATATTTGGAGAAAAATATGCTTCAGATTTTTTAATGAATTTTAATTCTGTCTCCATGTTTCACTTCTTCCATCAGTCTCTTAGTTTTTCCCACACACATTGGTTTCACATTTTTAAAAGAATGACTATTCTTTACCCTCTTCCACAGCTCATTGAAGCTGGGATGGTACTTGACCCAGAACACTTGAACTATATCATTAAGCTTTTATACCAAATACAGGCTTCCAAGCCAGAAATAACTGCAGTTCTGGAAATGAAATCCAGGTAAGAAAATCATTATAATTAGGACTAAAATATATGTATTTTGGTGGGGACTTAAAAAGGATGAAGACAAAGCACTTCTCATTCTTCATATGCCCACCATAGCCCTTGTCCCCCTCTTGTCTATGGCCTGGTCACATTGTCATCAGCTGCCTCTAGCTAGCCCTCCTGGCCAGCCTCACCACATCTTTTTCATCACCTGATTTCATCTCGCTACCTGGCAGATCAATGTAAAGACTCTTTTGCTCTGTTTCACAACTTACTTAATTCTACTTAATGCACTCTCTTGTGTGTATTCAAATTACTTTAATCCTTCTTTCTCTTTCACTCACTTCTTGTCATGTTAACTAGATAAAATATTTTAAGTTCTCTCCTTCATTCTTTCTCTGACTTGTTTGCTTTCTCTGTTTAGCTTATGAGCCTCAAAAGGCCTTAAAAAAAAAAAAAGACCTATAATAATTACAAGAGTAATACCATAAATACCTGTATTGAGAAAAAGGAAAGCCATGACTTTGATAAAAATTTTATTAAACTGTCACATACATAGAGAAAAGTATACAAATTTTAGGTGTTTAAATGAACCATAACTTTTTAACAAAGTCAGATTTGATAAAGTGCAAATGATGCCAACCAGAAAAGTCCTTGAGAAAGCCCAGTAAGCTCCTTCAGAGGCACTTCCACACTTATTTCATGTCTCATGATCCTCTGATACAGAGATTTCCACACTAGTATCCCGAGGCCAAAAGAAATACATTAACAGTAGCATTTATTAAGAGGTTAGATCCAAACAAATTAATAGTAGTTTGATAGTGTCTGAAAGATGTCGTGAAAATATTAAAATTACCTCAGGAGCCCTGTGAATTTGCTCTAGTGCCTTTTTATTAGTTCCCTTTTTTTCCCATACCCATTTGGTGTGATTATTCATTTATAGATCATTTAAACTTATTTGTTACTGTTTATTATATTTTCAGTTATCCCACATCATAGTCTGTTTGATTTGGGAAAGTATGTGAAATACTACTGTTGATTGTAACCATCAGTATAAACAGATGCAATGAGAAATGTTGCTCCCCCTTACCCCTACTCTGCCATTTCTGTTTCCTCCTCCTTTTCACCCCTTTTCCACCTACATACTAGAGGTAACCAATCTTTCAGTTTCTGGGGTTATCCTCTTATAATGAGCAGATGTTTATATATTTTCCTATACCAACTTCTTTGTTACACACAGTGTAGCATATAATGAATTTCAAATTTGCTTTTTTCACTCAAACAGTATATCCTGGAGATCAGTCTAAATCAGTTTAGAGGGAAATCTGTCAGTTTTTAATAAAGGCAAAGTACTCCATTATTTGAATGTACTTCAGGTTATTCAATCAATGTGTGGGTTTTTAAGTTGTCCCCAATATTTTGCAGTTTAAAACAATGCTACTAATATTGGATTGGAAAAATTAATATTGTTAAAATAGCCATACTACCCAAAAGCAATCTAGATTTAATGCATTCCCAATCAAATTAACCATGACGTTTTTCACAGAACTAGAACAAATAATCCTAAAATTTATATAGAATCACAAAGTCAAGAATATTCAATGGAGAAAAGACAGTCTCTTCAGCAAGTGGTGTTGGGAAAGTTGAACAACTTCATGTAAATCAGTGAAGTTAGAACATTACCTCACAAAATGTACAAAAATAAAATGATTCAAAAACCTAAATATAAGACATGACACTGTAAAAATCCTAGAGAACATAGGCAAAACATTTTCTGATGTAAAATGCGGCAATATTTTCTTAGACCAGTCTCCCAAGGCAAAAGAAATAAAAGCAAAAATAAGCAAATGAGACCTAATCAAACTTAAAAACTTTCGTACAACAAAGGAAACCGTGAACAAAATGAAAGACAACTTACAGACTGGGGGAAAATATTTGTAGAATGAGGCATCCAACAAGGGTTTAATTTCCAAAATACATAAACAGGTCATACAACTCAGTATCCAAAAAACACCAAAAAAAAGAAAAACCCCACCCAGTCAATAAATGACAGAAGACTTAATTAGCCATTTCTCCAAAGAAGATATGTAGATGGCCCACATGAAAAGATGTCCAACGTTGCTGAGTATTAGAGAAATGCAAATCTACGGTGAGGTACCACCTCACACCAGTCACAATGGCCATCAAAAAGTCTACAAACAGTAAATGCTGGAGAGGGTGTGAAGAAGAGGGTGCCCTCCTACACTGTTGGAGAGAATGGAAATTGTTGCAGCCACTGTGGAGTACAGTATAGAGATTCCTTAAGAAGCCAAAAATAGAGTTGCCATATGACCCCAGCAGTCCCATCCCTGGGCATTAGTCCAGAAAAGATGAAGCCTCTAATTTGAAAAGATATGTGCACCACAGTATTCATAGCAACACCATTTATAATAGCCAAGACAGCGGAAACAACCAAGTGACCATCCACAGATGAATGGATAAAAATTAGGAACTTGTCCTTCCTTTTTAATGCTCTGCAATAATTTATAAAACATTGGGACTAATTACCAAAATTGACCCCATAGTTGGCTCTTCTACAGTATTAACACTTTATTGGCTCCTTCCTCTCTGCACCTTTTCTTGGCCTCTTCCCAGTTGCCAAAGCATACTTCTCCTTTCATTTTTGTTTTTTGTTTTTTTTTCCTGTCCCTGAAGCTATCCATGCATTTCACATTTGCTTTGTTCAAATCATACAAACTTCTAAATTCCTTCTGTGTGGTTTATGTTCTCATCTACCCACTTATTTTCCTTAGCATTTTCAAACTTTGTGTGGACTTTGTAATGGTAATTTTTAGTCACTGTTAGGTCCTTCTGCTAATTTCCTTGTATGGTTCTCCCCTTACAGATACTTTTTGTTTGCTTGATCTGGTTTGTTGTGGTTAGTGTTTGCTTGCCTCATGTCCTTATGGAGCAATAAGGGTGGCGTGAGAGCAGCAGAGAGCAAGTGCTAGGATTTCTTTTGTGTATGTGTGTTTTTCTCTTTGTATTCACAATTATTTTGAACCTTTGACATTCTCTGTCTTCAAGTTGGGATGAAAGTATGGTTTCACATGAAATTGTTTTTCTTCCTCATTGCCTGTGGTTCAGGAGGAAATAGTTTAAGTAAGGTAACTGTGCAATTACCATTTTATTCAGCACTAAAGAATTTTTATAGCATATTACTCTTTCTCCAGTCTTTTAGGTATAAGTTAACAAATGAATTAGAAGCAATATTGACTGGGGGGAGTGAACATAATTAACCCTTTTCTGTTGTTAAAGGTTACACATGAGGCAATTTAAAAAGAACTGGAAATGTGACTTAGAGGCAGCCTTGAATGAAATAGAGGTATGATGCTTATCTTTTAAATATGTATCTGGGAACTCTGAAAACCAGTAACAACAAAGAAGCTGAATAGTAACCCAATTTTAGAAAAAGGTTTACAAATGCAGCTGTTACACAGAGAAAAGAAGGAAAAGAAGTTTAATTTTTTACAAGTTAATGCCTTCAAATGGAAACATAATTTCTAGAGTTTGAACTATTCTAAAAATCATTCTAGACATAGTTGTTCAGTTTAAAATTAAGGTATGTTAAGCTATAGTAATCTATAGCTTGGCTTTTACTTCTTGTAACTAGGTGGACTCCTTCAGTGCATGAGTGAGTTGGCTTTCTTGTCATGATCCATGGGTGATCATATTGAATGGACAGGATGTCACCTGACAGGGTAAAGCTGTGGTCACTGTGTGCTCTCCAAGCACTTAGAGTCTGAATAAGAAATAGAGGACTTTCAGGATGACTTGACTTTTTAATTTAAGATCATTTTTATACTCATTATAATAATTGTTGATCTAGTCTAAATTAATATGTATATCCTTGAAACAGTATATTTTGTTGGTATAGAAAACTTTTACTTTAGAATAGAAAATAATAGAAAGAGAGTAAGTTTAGTGAAATTTACTTTTTAGGTCCTTTAGTAGAAGAAATGTAATGCCCAAAGTTGTGTGTGGGCCCCACATCACAAATGGCCAAATAATCGTAAAATGCAATCTCTAACAGTAATAAAATAATGTATTACTGTGAAGGCAGCTCAAATCATGCTGCCAGTCATCTCTTCTCCAAAAATCTATCTCCACTGTGTATTCTAGGTTTGGGGATGACGTCATTAAGGACATTAGGAACTAAATAATTAAGACAGGTGTACGTTGACATCTGGACCTTATATAGGCTTTGCCATGGTCAGAAAAGCAAATTGTACAGTAACTTGTTACTGCTGTTACAACACTTGCCAGGAAGCTTATATAAGATTTGCAGAGATCACGTCTTATTAATTTCTGTAATGCCGACATGTGCCTACCCCATAATATGTTTGCATAAATGACAGCTTACATTTTTTGTTTTGTTTTTAATAATTCTCATAGCATTGTAAAGAAAAAGGTGACTGGACCAAATTGGGAAATGTATACATTAACATAAAAATGAGCTGCGAAAAACTTGCAGATTTCCAGAGATTTTGTTCTTGTATTGCTGAAACACTAACAAAAGACTATAAAGAAGAGCGACCAGGTGTTCCATTTTGTGAATTTGCTGAAACAGGTAAATGTTTTGGTCAGAGTACTGCATGTTAGGGTGATACGGTGTTCTTTCTTACTGATTGATTGACTGGCACGGTGTTCAAAACATAAAGCTCCTAATAGTCTCCAAGTTGAAGATAAATTAATAATGCAGGTTTTAGATATGATTTCTTCTCTTTATAAATTTTTTCTATCTATTTATTATTAACTTAAATTATAATGATAAAAAAGTGATAAAAGGTCAGTATATCAGATGTTTCATGTTCTTATTTTTCTTTTCATTCAGATTGGTAAAACTGTTGCTAGCAAATTATAGTGAAGAATCTGAATGTTGGGATCACTGTTACTGTCTTCACTGTTGCAAGTCAATAAAATTCATGTGTTTTTGAGACCTTTCTCTGTGTGTGTGTGTGTGTGTGTGTGTGTGTGTGTGTGTGTGTGTGAGCGCTTCACTGCTATATTCTCTATCAGAGTTGACGAACCCTGTAAAGGAGCAGATAGTAAATATTTTAGGTGTTGCACACACAGCATATGATCTGTGTCACATAGTTTTCTTTTCAAACAACCCTTTAAAAATAAAAACCGTTCTTAGAAGCTCACAAGCTATACAGAAACAGGCCACAGGCCAGATGCAGCCCATGGGCTGTAGTTGGCCGACACCTGGTCTTTGTGGTAGTATCACTAATTCCATATTAAATTTGCCTTTTCCATCATTCAAAGTGACTGTTTCATTTTCTTCCATGTATCTACTTTGTGTTTCAGTTAGCAAAGATCCACACAATAGTGAAGTAGATAAAACTTTGCTGGGAAGAATCGGAATCAGTGCTATGTACTTCTATCACAAGCTGTTGCAGTGGTCCAAGGTACTTCACTAAATTTTTGTTTTGGCTTGATCTGTAGAGTGTTTGTTCATTTTACATTTTTGTATAGAATATAAGTTAACCCTGAAAGTTAAAATTTTGCTGATTATCGCTACAGGGGGCAAATTGAGCCTCAGACAGTAAGTGAATTATTAGGTGGTATATTTGGGCTTTCCTGATAGCTTAGTTGGTAGAGTCCACCATCAATACAGGAGACCCCAGTTTGACTCCTGGGTCAGGAAGATCCCCTGGAAAAGGGATAGGCTACCCACTCCAGTATTCTTGGGCTTCCTTTGTGGCTCAGCTGGTAAAGAATCTGCCTGCAATGCAGAAGACCTGGATTCGATCCCTGCGTTGGGAAGATCCCCTGGAGAAGGGAAAGGCTACCCACTCCAGTATTCTGGCCTGGAGAATTCCATAGACTGTATAGTCCATGGGGTCGCAAAGAGTCGGACACGACTGAGCGACTTACACTTCACTTCACTTAGGTGGTGTTATTAGGAACATGTAGACAGGAGGAGGCATGAGACTGACTACCATGAAGAATCTCAGTGTGGGGAATACTTGGGAAGCTGGGCTAAATGTCATTTTTACTTGAAGCACCTGTCAATTCAGTATATTTTGCCAATTCCTGAGTGTTGGCAGTATTACAGTTTTGGAAGACCTCTCTTAAGATAAGCCCAAGATACAATTAATAGAACTTTGAAATGACTTCTTAGGATTCCCTGGAACACTGTTACTATCTTCATGTCTACCTTTGAGATTTAGCTCATCGTAGAAGCAGTGTAGCAACTCTAGACCATATTTTACTACCTGAGGTATACTTCCCTGAGGTGCAGGTAGAGTGATAGATTCAATAAAGTTAAGTAAAGGGCAGGAAAATCCAAAATAGAGAAGTGCTGAGATATGGAGGTAGGATAGTTGAGAGTGAGGTTGCTATTGAATCAGCTATTAAAATATAACTTTTATTCCTTCCTCCTCTTTTTTAAAAGTTCCTGTACTGGTTTATTTCTATGCAGTCAAATGCAGGTGTTTCCTCCCTCTCAATTCTCTAGTTTTTACATTTCTTTTTTTTTTTTTAATTTGTTTTTTTTTTTCTTGAAGGATAATTGCTTTACAGAATTTTGTTGTTTTCTGTCAAATCTCAACATGATTGAGCCATAGGTATGCATATGTCCCCTCCCTTTTGAACCTCCCTCCTATCTCCCTCCCCACTTCTTTTTTATAAAGAGGTTGTTTCACAATTGAAATAATATTTAAGGACATTAAATGTGTACATGGTCACTCATGTACACATACAAAATTCAAAATTTTTTTAAAGAAAAACATTTTCAAATAATCATTGTACAGAAGATCTCCAGTTTCCAAGCTCTTCAAGAGCACTTATCATCTGATAGACCTGGACTGGACAAAATGTACTTTGTCCCCCTTCTCACAATCTAGCTTAAGGTATATCATAGCATTAATTTCTTGGGTATTTAATGCTTGAGAATTTGAAGACTACCTAGTAGGAAAGTTCTTTTTAAAACTCAGACTGATTTTGCTTTAATTTCAGAGTATATTTTAATTGTATTTGGCTGTTTTTATTTAAGATATAAGCGGTTGGTGAATTTGTGCCTATATTTTAATTTTAAATGTTCACTATATTATTCAGAATGAGTATTTTATTTGTTTTCTTACTTAGCTGAATTTTTAATGAAATGTAAATGAAATTTTTTAATAAAACTTCCTTTTTGAACATAAAAGTAAAACCGTTGGGATTAAACTTAAGGCATCCCTTGAAAAATGCACTCATTTAATACAGTCAGATTGAAAGTACTTTGACGACATAATATGCATCTGACTCAAAATAGCGTATAATATAATATGAAACAAGAGTCTGTAAACTAAAAGCCGGATCTGGCCCACAGCCTATTTTTATACTACTCATGAGCTAAGAATGTTTCTTACATTTTTAAAGACTTAGAAATTTAAAAACAACCAAAAAGAATATGCAGCTGACCAAATGTAACTTGCAAAGCCCAAAGCATCTACTATCTGGCTTTTTATAGAAAAGTTTTGCTGACCCTAATAGAAATAATAACACAGGTCCAGTTTCTAATGTCTACCCTAGAGACAGTCCTTATGTAGATTATGTGAAACTATTAGCCTATTGACTCAGAAAAACAATTTTTAGCCAACAGTTTTATCCCTTTTCCCCCACTATCATTCTTTATCTCAATTTTATATTAAATTATCTTCTTTTCATTGGCTCTCTCTCCTGGGTCTCAGGGTGATCAACATGAGAAGAGCAAGAACATATAATGGGTAGTTTTCCACTTTAAGGCGTGAAATCTTTTTGCCAAATGAGGCCTTTAGAAAGGAAGCTCACTGACTAAAACAGATGAAGGGAGATCCACTGAGAGGAGGCCCAGTGGTTAGTGAGGCAAAGCCCTGCTTGCTCCCCTTCCCTTTCTGTTTTCATGGCTGAGCTGGAAAGGGCTTAAGAAGAGCATCTTGAAGCAGTTTGATAGCCATCAGTCTCGAATGATGATTCAGATTGCATAATTGCCTTCTATATAATCTTCAGTGACTTTGTATCTCTATAATATTCTAAATTATTAACAATCAGTGTTCTTTTTTTTTTTCTTTAACTCTAGGGAAGGAAGGTCTTAGATAAACTGTATGAATTAAAAATACATTTTACAAGTTTAAAAGGACTTATAGGGCCTGAGAAGTTAGCACCAAGATGTCAAATTGTGAATATTGCAGCAGAAATTTTTCTAAAAAGTGGAAGCCTAGATGGTGCCATTTGGGTGTTAAGGGGTAAGTTCTGATACATACCAGCATGAAATATTTTGTAAGCTTATTATAAATTCTTGGATTTGTAATTACCTCAAGTTGATATTAAATGGTGGGTGATAATTTGGCCTAAGCCTCTAGTGTTCATGTGGGTAGGAAAGGTTATTGTGTAAAATGAAAGGAGAATGTTAACCTAGCTTTAAAGAGAAACTGTATGAACCTTTGTTGAAAAGTTAGTTGTTACTTCGGCCTCAGCACCATAGAAATGCTTTACCTGATTATCTCACTTAATCTTCATGGAAACCCTATGAGTTTGAAATTATTACAATCCCCATGTTACTGATAAGAAAATCTTGTTAGAGACAATAAGCAGCTTGCCCAAAATGACATAATAAGAAAGATGTGGAGGCCAGATTTAATCCCAGACAGCCCAGCTTCAGAGCCCAAGCGTAAGCTGCTAAAACAGGGAAATCCTGATTGCAATCTGTATAAACCCTTTCTTTGCATGTGCCGACAAGCTGGCTCCAAACCAAAACAATAAAGCTTGTTTTCCCTAGTAAGTCAATTCATCTAACAGAAATTACAATGCAGTTAAGCCAGCAGAAGCAACTAAGGTCAGTTGGGCATGAGGTAAATATAATTTAGAGAGCAAAGTAGCAGCGCAGCATCTAATGTAGCCTTGGCTACTTAGACCATCAAGCAGATTTTATTTGATAAAATGGAATAAATGAGAATGAAGATGGAGAAGGAAATGACAACCCACTCCAGTATTCGTGCCTGGAAAATCCCATGGACAGAGGAGCCTGGTGGGCTTACACAGTCCATAGGGTCGCAAAGAGTCAGACACGACTGAGCGAGTGACCACCTGAAGGAAAGTGAGAGCGGCTGGTGTGCGATTCAGTGACAACATGGGACCAGTGAGTGATGACGTCCAGCCTGACGATGACAAGGACCCATGACTGCCACGCACGGCTACTCTTGGCCCAGGAACGTGGAAGCCACCATTCACAAGTCTATAACAAGATGACTGACAGCTGGAGGTGATTTCCAATTCTTCGCAGCCCACTGGCTCCCAGAGTGATATCCCTGGCTCTTGTTCACAGGACTTTCCATGTATTATAGATATTAACCCTGTGTCTGTGATGTATTTTCCCCAGTGTTAGGGGTTGCTGTATATGTAAATGGGGCCAGTAAGGCTCTGGATCATTAAGAAAAGGTACAGTATGAGGGGAAAGAAGCCCATTTGGTGACCAGGAACAGCAACATCGAATGGAAACACTTACTACAAAGAAGCTGGTGCTTCGGAAGGAAGAGCAGCTGGAATGAGTGTCACAAGCAAGCGTGTTTACAAGGCTCTAATGAGATGAAGCAGATGAAGTCCTTGATGAACCACTCAGTGCTGTGCACACCAGAGGTGATGCCAGCTTTTGGACTTCTTATACACGAGAGAGAAACAAACCCTCTTGTTTAAAAAAAAAAAAAGAAGAAACCTCAAGAGTCTCAGAGTTTAGATGGAAGACAGGATCAACACATAAGTAAATAAAATTGGAAGCTTTTGCATTAACACACAAAACTAGCATACGTACATATTTATCTTTTTTTTTCCTTTTTTTATTTATTTATTTATTTATTTATTTTTATCACAACCATAGTGTATCTTTTTTTTTTTTTTTTTTACATGTATTCCCCATCCCGGTCCCCCCTCCCACCTCCCTCTCCACCCAATCCCTCTGGGTCTTCCCAGTGCACCAGGCCCGAGCACTTGTCTCATGCACCCAACCTGGGCTGGTGAACTGTTTCACCCTAGATAATATACGTGTTTCAATGCTGTTCTCTTGAAACATCCCACCCTCGCCTTCTCCCAGAGTCCACAAGTCTGTTCTATACATAGGAGTCTCTTTTTCTGTTTTGCACATAGGGTTATCGTTACCATCTTTCTAAATTCCATATATATGTGTTAGTATACTGTAATGGTCTTTATCTTTCTGGCTTACTTCGCTCTGTATAATGGGCTCCAGTTTCATCCATCTCATTAGAACTGATTCAAATGAATTCTTTTTAATGGCTGAGTAATATTCCATGGTGTATATGTACCACAGCTTCCTCATCCATTCGTCTGCTGATGGGCATCTAGGTTGCTTCCATGTCCTGGCTATTATAAACAGTGCTGCGATGAACATTGGGGTACACGTGTCTCTTTCAGAACTGGTTTCCTCGGTGTGTATGCCCAGAAGTGGGATTGCTGGGTCATATGGCAGTTCTATTTCCAGCTTTTTAAGAAATCTCCACACTGTTTTCCATAGTGGCTGTACTAATTTGCATTCCCACCAACAGTGTAAGAGGGTTCCCTTTTCTCCACACCCTCTCCAGCATTTATTGCTTGTAGACTTTTGGATAGCAGCCATCCTGACTGGTGTGTAATGGTACCTCATTGTGGTTTTGATTTGCATTTCTCTGATAATGAGTGATGTTGAGCATCTTTTCATGTGTTTGTTAGCCATCTGTATGTCTTCCTTGGAGAAATGTCTGTTTAGTTCTTTGGCCCATTTTTTGATTGGGTCATTTATTTTTCTGGAGTTGAGCTGGAGGAGTTGCTTGTATATTTTTGAGATTAATCCTTTGTCTGTTGCTTCGTTTGCTATTATTTTCTCCCAATCTGAGGGCTGTCTTTTCACCTTGCTTATAGTTTCCTTTGTTGTGCAAAAGCTTTTAAGTTTCATTAGGTCCCATTTGTTTATTTTTGCTTTTATTTCTAAAATTCTGGGATGTGGGTCATAGAGGATCCTGCTGTGATTTATGTCGGAGAGTGTTTTGCCTATGTTCTCCTCTAGGAGTTTTATAGTTTCTGGTCTTACATTTAGATCTTTAATCCATCTTGAGTTTATTTTTGTGTATGGTGTTAGAAAGTGTTCTAGTTTCATTCTTTTACAGGTGGTTGACCAGTTTTCCCAGCACCACTTGTTAAAGAGGTTATCTTTTTTCCATTGTATATCCTTGCCTCCTTTGTCAAAGATAAGGTGACCATAGGTTCGTGGATTTATCTCTGGGCTTTCTATTCTGTTCCATTGATCTATATTTCTGTCTTTGTGCCAGTACCATACTGTCTTGATGACTGTGGCTTTGTAGTATAGTCTGAAGTCAGGCAGATTGATTCCTCCAGTTCCATTCTTCTTTCTCAGGATTACTTTGGCCATTCGAGGTTTTTTGTATTTCCATACAAATTGTGAAATTATTCGTTCTAGTTCTGTGAAAAATACCGTTGGTAGTTTGATAGGGATTGCATTGAATCTGTAGATTGCTTTGGGTAGTATAGCCATTTTGACAATATTGATTCTTCCAATCCATGAACACGGTATATTTCTCCATCTGTTTGTGTCCTCTTTGATTTCTTTCATCAGTGTTTTATAGTTTTCTATGTATAGGTCTTTTGTTTCTTTAGGTAGATATACTCCTAAGTATTTTATTCTTTTTGTTGCAATGGTGAATGGTATTGTTTCCTTAATTTCTCTTTCTGTTTTCTCATTGTTAGTGTATAGGAATGCAAGAGATTTCTGTGTGTTAATTTTATATCCTGCAACTTTACTGTATTCGTTGATTATCTCTAGTAATTTTCTGGTAGAGTCTTTAGGATTTTCTATGTAGAGGATCATGTCATCTGCAAACAGCGAGAGTTTCACTTCTTCTTTTTCTATCTGGATTCCTTTTACTTCTTTTTCTGCTCTGATTGCTGTGGCCAAAACTTCCAAAACTCGTACATATTTATCTATATATAAAACACGTGCATTTATCCAGTGCTGAGAGTTTATGGAATATAGAGGTTGTGATTAGACTTCATGATCAAAAGCTTGTTGGAAAAGGTTTTCTTCAACTTAACAAATGTAGCCAGTGAAGTTTCCTGGGAGAAAGATTAACCGAAATAGAAAGGTACAACACAAAATAAAAATATACAAATACAAAATAGAATGTTTATAAAAAGAGGAAGTAGCAAAATGCAAGCCAGAGTTCACAAGCTCCATGAGAAAGAAAAAAATGTGGCAAGAAACGGAAAGGTAAAATAGTTGGAAAAGAAGCGTATAGGTGATCATCTGCCTAAAAGTTTCTGTCAAAACCAGTCTTTCTCTAACTGGAGATTCTGACAGAGTTTGCAGGAGGGGTATGCAGTGGGTTATGGAGATTTACAATTTTTACAAATTTGATGTTTCAGTTTTGAGATTATCTTTTTAAATTCTGTCAATCATCAACACAAGATTTTCTTTTGCAGTGACCTTTTCAATTGAAAGTCATTTTCATAAGATTTTATTTCTTTTAAAAAAGGATAATTTTGTGTTAAGTTGTCACCAGAACTTTTTTGTTCTTCAGAGGGTTCTGCAGTGAACAGGCCATTGTCAAGAAAGGAAATACAAGTGGCTTGATCTCACTTGTAATAACTGAGAAATAAACATTAAAATCCTAAGCACTTGTCAGACCAGCAAACATTAAAGTTTAGTGATATGCTTTTTGTGAGGGTATAGAGGAATGAACCTCCACACGGATTGTCTTTAGGGGCTTTTTGACAAAAATATCTGTCAAAATTTAGTAATGCATATTTCCTTTAATCTGTTAACTCCATTTCTAGGAATTTGTCCTGCAAATACATTTATTTCTATATTCGAAGGTATGCACTGTAAGTTATATGAAATCTTTTTTTTTTTTTACCATCAACAATGATAAAGAATTCCAGATAACTTGTGTCCATTAAGGATGTAACAGTTAGTGAAGCTGTGTAACAGCCATATGATGGAGTAGAATGAGTTAGAGCCACAAATACTCATTGGAATGATCTCCAGGATTTATTACCAAATTAAAAAAGGAATATCCTGAATGGTGTACACAGTATGCTACCATTTGTGTAAAAAAAAATTTTTAATGGATACATACATATTTGCTTTATACCCTTAAAATAGTTGCAGAAGGATACATAAGAAACAATTGATGATGGTTGCTTCTGGGAAGAGGAATTGAGTGTTTGCAGAACAGGGGTGAGA